TCTGTTTAGGTGAAGTGTGAACAAACGGCTGTTATTTATAAACAACAACAAGGCAAACTGGCCATTTTAACTACCCCATTGACCACCTTTGCTGTGGGGGAAACAATGAAAGCCTATTGTGTCTGTGTCAGTACCTCTGTGGAGTTCTTCAGAGAGGTGTGTATCAGTAATGTGAGAGGTTACTCTGGAAGTGTACTTTAGTGTACGCCTGAGGAGCTCCATGTCCTGCTCTGGGCAGCTCTACTACCTACAAACCCCATGCATGAGTCATTTATTTAAAATGCTCCTTTTGTGTTGTTGTTTTATGTGTGGCACTTGGAAACGATTCCCACATTAGAGTTTTTTTACAGCCCAATAAACTTAAGAGCATCGGACCAAATTGGCCGGTCATATTTATAGCGTTATAAGGAAAGTATTAAGGTATAATTGCTCCAGGGAGTGCGCAACGTAGGTAAGGGTTACAAAACCAGCCTCACGCTCTAGGGGACACTGATGTTTTTGTCCTCCGCCTGGGAGTTTCCTATTACCATGAGGAAATGAGTGGCACTTTATATGATTTTAGAAAATGATTTTGTTTTATTTCACATTTCCGAAAAGGGTGAATTCTTCCGGTGTGGCAGCGTAACATCTGTTTGGAATTATTGCTGATGACAATGACTAAAAACAAAAAAGAACATATGTGTACATATGTTTTAAAGATAAAGCAACTCACTCACTACAGACATTTCTGTTTTTCAAAATGACAAAGAAAAAAAGTCACCCATTTTCACACTTGTCACATACTGTCCATAAGAATCCTATTCCATGTCTTTTCTCCACTTGGAAGTTCATGTAACTTTATGTTTTGTTTTTGTTTTGTTTTGTTTTTTTCTGGTGCTGTGTTTTTGCGGCAGTGTAGCGTGGCATGGACACACTGAGGAGCCTTTCAGCAGCTTCATCTGATACCTCTGTGACTGGAACCAGGAACTGTGTTACTGGCCAGAATCGACATGCATGGGTTAGTAGGTCAAACAAGGAGCTAGTCTTATTCGACTCCATCCCTGGGCTGGGTCAGACTAATGTGATTTATCAATACAGCACACAAGTGAGTCATTGTATGTGATCCCCATGATAATCCACAAGACAGACTGTAGAGTTATTAGTATAAGAAGTGAGGCTGGAGGGAGGGGAGCATGTGGATGTACTGTTTTTTTTAAGATGCTATATGTTGCTTGCACCTGTAGAGGACCTTTACATATCACTGTAATGTTCTTTGATTGCTCCCCCCCCCCCCCCCCCCACACACACACACACACACACAGATTCACGCTAACAGAAGGCTAGCTGATTGGGCCTGGGAGAGAAAAAGACAAAGCTCTGTTCGTTGACGCTGAATCTCAGTCTCAGGTCAAGACTCGGCCGCTGTAATCCCTCTCAGGTGATGCTATTCACATTCGACATTTTCCAACTGATCTGCTTAAATATGCCCCCCGCCCCGCCCCTCTCTCTCCTCACTCCCCCCTGGCCCCACAAACACACACACACACACCAACACCACCACGACCTCTGATAAACTGGCACAACCTCAGTGGGCGAGGAAAGCAGAAGAGACTTCGGCCTTTATAAGGTGATGAATTTGGTGGGATCATATGAGAGACCCTGACGGCAGACGTACCATCTTACCCATCTTAAGAGCCATTTGTTAATTTTTCCAAAGGCACAGCCGCTTTTAAAATAAGCCTCTCAAAGTGCTGCTTCTTTTCCCCCGTCAGCCACTTAATCAACATATTGCATTGCACTGAAGTAGCAGGTTCCAACATTAACACTTGCACCCACAAACCTGGGACTTAGTATAACCTTTCAGCACAAATCACCCTGATTTACAGAGCTGGGGGGAAAAAATGTCACTTTGCTTGAATTGACTTATCTACATCCAAAGATGCAAAGAAGGATTTAAAAACATCGTTTTGTCATATTATCACTAAACCAACGTAATAAATGAACTGACACAGACTGAGTGTTGAACTGACGGTGAAGTACAAGTCAGACACTTCAAACTCACAGTTTTCTACGTACTTAAGCATCAAACGCTGACATCACAAACCCTTGCTGCCCGCTTCTATTAGCAGCAGAAAAAAAAATCATGCATGTCCGACCTAAACGCCACCACCCTGGTAGTATCTAATCACTTTTGTCCTTCAGAAAAGACTAAGGGTGGAGTTAAGTAACAGACAGCAAAGGCTTAACATGATGTGAAGCGTGCTGTGGCCTGCTGGGAATTCAAATTTGCCATCTCAGAACAGATGTAGAAGAGTTAATGGTATCACATAGCACCTTTTCACCAGTCTCAAGTATTATTAGCTATTCATTACCTGTTTAAACATAGCAGCACCTCACTGTGAGTCTCACTTCCCTTCAGGCAGCACTGTTACTCCAGCCTGATTTTATGTAGTCAGCAGGTGGCATCATTAGCCAGAGAATAAAAATGAAATGTAATACCCTTGTGTCTAACTATTGTATCATAGCGGGGCTCATTGGCAACGTTTCCCTGTTTCTAGTGGGCAGGATGGGGGGTAAGGAGGTGTAAATTTAATATGTTTTGTCATCTGTTTTACATGAATTAAATGTGTACGCACAGTCACCACAGCCAAGGGAGGCTGGGCTGTGCCATGCAGTGTGTGAGCAAGTCAAGATCAGCCCTGAAACCACACAAAGATCCCAATCTCCTCTCTGCTGTATATTTCAGCGGGTTCCAGTCATTCGCAATGGCTGTTTTTCTCCTTGACATTCCCTAATTATAATGGCAGCTCCATCCCTTGCACCTCGCTCTGTCGTGCGGCTACGTGCGTACAATATATCAAGAGCAAAACTTTTTTTATGTGCATGTAAAAATGAAAAAGACGTTTCTTAAATTATGCAGGACGTGTTTTGTTAAGCATAAAATAGTTGCGCCTGGGGAGAGGCGCGTGGCCAAATTGAGTTTTCGAACGTGTCTGGGTCTCAACACTCCTGAATGGTTTGGATAGCTCTCTGTGCATTGCCAGACAGCCTGTATATAAAGCTGTCACAAGAACCTTGAGGGCTAGAAAAATATTCAAGCATTTCGGGGCCTATTGGACAGAGATCTCTTACACATGCTTCTTTCAATATAACCGTGATAAATAAAGGAAGGAAGCAAATACCAAATCCCTGGCTGGTGGCCACTGCCTTACTAGAATGGTACTTTTGGCCCAAAGTACTGTTACCCCCTCCACCCCCCAAACACAGACAAACACAAAAACACTCACACACACACACACTTTACTTACTCTTCCAGAACAACAATAAAACCTAAAGCTAAAACCTGTACACATTTGCATGGGATTAGTTTGACAAGTGTTACATCCGCTCAAAGAGCTGGTGGTGACTGTGTGTACTTTATAGTACTTGGCCTAAAGCTGTTCTTGAGGTCAAATGTGTAAGTTAACCTCTTGATCTGGCTGGTTCCCGTCCACCACCACCATGACCACTCTCCCTCTCTTTCTCTCTTTCCCCCTCCCCCCTCTCTCACACAAACCTCCACATTTGTAGATAAACAGACCCCTGAGGACAAATGAAAAGGCTGTGATTTGCTGCCCGGCCATCCAAAATACCCTCCGCCGTTTCAATAAAGCATTGGTCATGCCAAGAAAACCGCATTCCATCTCCTGCACACTATCTAAGATCACACAGTACAAGAGGAGAGAAGCACGCCGAGGAGCAGAAAAACGTGTGTGCGCCAGTGCCCCGCAGTGATTGCCTGATTATTTGCAGATGGGCAGTGGAGAGTTTGCAGAGTGTGGAGGTTCACCCTTGGCACGCAGCGCATATGATTAAATCTGTGATTGCCTTTAAAATTTACAAGACCCCATCTCTCTGTTCCTAAGTTGTTGATTTTTTTATTTATTTTTTTCCTTTCTGAAACGCCTTTCCATACTGTGCGTCACGGAGTTAGCCGTTTTACTCCCTCCTCACCGCTGGTGCTGGTCACTCTTCTACGGTCACTCTGTGGTTTTTGGCAGTGTGTTGTGTCACAGGTCTGAGGAGGAGTCGGCGGGGGCTGCTGTCCTAATCCCTCTGTCTCCTCATTCATTCACAGGAGTAGTAGTATTGACAAAGAGGCTGATCCCCCTCCTCAGCTCCTGCGCCTCCGCTGAGCGATTGTTATGCGGGCTTCCTACCAACTGTTCAAAGTGGTTATGAGATCAATTAAAACCAGCTTAAAGGGGCCGGGCTGGAAATGTGCAATTCACAAGACAGGGGAATGGGGTTCCGTATCTGTTTATTAAATCACTCCTACAACACGACCACCGTCTCCTCTCCTCCCTCCTTCTGTATAACCCTCTCCTGTCCTCTCCTCTCCTCTTCTCTCCCCTTGTGTATAACCCTCTCCTCTCCATAAACAGAACCGCAGCGGCAGTCTTTTCAAAACTAGTTTCACATGTAAATAATATTGTTGGGGCCACAGCGACGGGAAGTGGCGCTAAAGGAGTTTAAAGATGATAAGCCAATCCACTGACGCAACATGTTTTAATATTAATTTTGGTCAGCCACGCGCGCTTGGCCAATTTTGCGCACATTTTACGCATCGGCTACCGGCTGCTTGTCGTGACATAATGTGGAAAATGTTCTTTCATGAAGTTAATAAGTCGCACCAGATGTTGAAAGATTGAATTGTGGCTTGGATTGAAAATGTCTTTCGGCGCAGAGTTCTACTTATTACAGTGTGGACAGGTCTCACCTGTTTGATTTCACTGTCAAACTGGAGTGGCTTATAAATACTTGGACGTGGTTTTACTTTGACTTTTCCACGCCCGCTGTGCGCCCTCTACGTGTGTATGAACGCATGTGTAAATGTGCGTGTGTAAACTTCAAAATACATGCACAGGGGAGAAGTGTGAGAAACAGAGCTTAGGTCTGTGCCTTTGCCTCCCGTGACCCACACAAACTCCCTGTAAGCATCTGTGAAAGTTCCCACTCCACGGATGCTGCGGCTGCGTTACCTCTTTTATTTCTCCTCCAGCGGTGCGACGGCGCCTGACAGTTGCTGTACTCCATACAGTTCAATACGATCAGGGCAAATGAGAAGAGTCGAAACTGCATCTGGACGGTGATCTGTTGTCCGGACTCCAGCAAAAAAAAAGGTGCCAACGGGGCTTGGATTCAACTCTCCGAGTTTGTAAATGTCCTCCCCCAGTTTCCTTTGTCGCTGCTCAAATGTGTCAAACATCAGACGAGATGCGACATGGTATCACGTCGCCCATTGGGATCATTTTACGGGACGCGCTGATCCTTTCACTCAGTCAAAAGTGTCTGTTTGGGTGCGCTGCGGGGAGAATGACAAAGGAGATTACTGTGATAACATTATAACGAAATCAACACCTTTCTAAAGTGTGATGCCTAGAGGTGGTAGAAGGCGGATTAGAAGAACAAAAAGGAAAAAGTCCTCTGTGTGTTAATGTGTTGGAACAATCGCAATAGTAGCAAAGGCAAAAGCGTGCCGCACAAACGCCCCCTTTAGAAAAAAGAGCGCAGCCGTGCGTAAAAGTGGAGAAAAAAGCTCCGTGAGATAACGTCTCAGTACCTTGCCTCAGATGAAGTGTGAGCCAACTCCGCTCTGGTCCACCTTAGGTTCTCTCTGAGTGCAAGTGTGGCTCTGGAACACGCAGCATCCCTTTTTGTGTGAGAAACTTGTGTCCCCCACAAGCGCGCAAAGGTCGAGGTGGCAGCAGTGGAGGGGGATTTCCTTTCCTCCTCTCTGCAAACACTTAAATTCCTTTTACCTGCGTTTCCTCATTCGGTCTGGTCCCATTGGAGAAGCAGAACTCACATTTGTTGCTTTTTAAGCAGAAAGGAAAGACCGGCGACTGAGAGAGGGGGAGAGAAGGAGGGAGGGAGAGCGAGAGAGAGACGGAGTTGGTTTTGCGCGCTGCTGCTGAGGTTGCGCGGAGACCGACTCCACACTGGTCCTGATGCTTGCTGCTTTTTCCCTCATATAGCACCGTGCTGCCGTCACGTGTGGACATTTCCACTTTTGTGTTTTCCTCTTATTTAGGATGATGAAGATGACATTTTGTGTACCCCCACCCCTCCACTTTACCCACCCCACCTCCGTGAGCAATCATCCCAGAGTCTGCCTCTGGGTCCTAGCGAGCAGGAAACCCTGTAAATATCCTTCGAAATTTAAACAATTATGAAGACTTTATATTTAGTATCATATCCAAACTATTTAGTGTGACATGTTTTCTGCCCCCTATGGGTTATGGTAATTAATATAATTCTGCGGGCGATCTGGATGACTTGAGGATTTCATTAGAAAACAGGAGTGACGTAAAATGATCTAGTAACTCTCTGGGTTTTATTTTAAAATTCCACTGACGATATTAAATAATTAAAGGCCTCTCAAAAAAAAAAAGATCTGCATAATTTGCTTAATGAGGTGGGCTCACAAGTCAACCGTCCTGTCACTTTGACTCCCCCTTCCCCTTAGAAATAAATCAATGGTAATCGGCACAGAGACTGTAATTGTGGAACACGAATAAATTATTCAGTTATTACAGGATAACTGTTTCTTCTTTGCTAAGCCCTTTTACACTGACACACGCCACCGCATGAGTGGAGTTAGTGTGAGGTGGTCAGAAGGAGCAGGAGTTTCTCCATGGGTCACAAACAAGTGATTCTCCATTGACATTTGCTGCTGACCACGTCCACAGTAGAGAATGACCGTTTCCAGAAATTCTAACCACCGAAAAGTCAGATTGAATGAGACCTTTAGAAATATCTTCCAAAAACACGTTAACTTTATTTTTATACAGGTAAGTCAACAATACTGTAATGTTTTTTCCAGGGAGGATTCCAGCCTGCTATCAGTCAGTCAGGTCACTGCGCCACATCCAATGACTGTTCAAGCCTAACTTCTGAATGCTTTACCCCCTTCAGCCACTAGGTGTGGCACTTAATCTTTTATTTATTTCTGGAAATTACAAATGAGAGCTGTTCTGTTCATGTCACTCGTGAGGCAGAAACAGAAATACATTAACAACAAGGGATTTCATAGTCATTCAGATTGAATAACACAACAGTATTTCTACCTTCAGTCTGGTTGACCTCACATCACACACACACCTCCCATTTTCCCGTGGCAAAAGTTCACTTAGCTGCTGTTTGTACACTTTAAATACCAAGGAGAGAAATGAAAAAGAAAAGATCTCCGACCTCAAGTCAGTAAAACGCACGCGAGTCGAGTTTCCATTTCATCACCGAAACCCGAGTCAAATTTATATTTTTACTGTATATGTTTCGAGAGAGAAGGTTAAAAGGCAAACACAAAGGGAATTGTAGATGTTCCCTCTGTGACCTTTGTCCTGACGTTGTTTATTTATTTGTCCAGAGAGTAGTGACAGTGATTGTGGTCAGGAGGACTGTTAGCCACAGGCAGTGCTGCTGGTTTGGATTTGTCTCTAAAACAACATCTGAAAGTGCACGGTTAAGGTGAATGTGATAATTTAGGCCTCAGGCACTTTTATGTTCATGATGTGTCATGGAGACGGAGGCCGCTAAACCAATCACTTTATTCTTTCCCCCTCTCCTTCTTTTGCTCATTGCAGTGCACAGAAGTGGTGGTGGAGGGGTCGGAGGTGACGTCAGCATTTGGATGGGCTGGCTCCGAGCCCTTAATGCCATAACAGCAATGAGGGGAGCTGCTCTACACCCTGTTCATCAGAGTTCCAGACAGGATGGTCTGGAGCGTGGGCTGCTGTCACAGTTTACTATAAAGAAGAGTTAGAGAGAGAGAAAAAAGACAGAGTGGTCATTTAAAAGTCAGAATCTCCAAAATGCCAGGGGCAGAATGAGTGAAGCAAACTGAGAAAGTTCAGGTTATACTTAGCAACATTCCATGTTTGTGGCTCCAAATGGAAAGAGGAGAGACTTCAGTGTCCGGAGTCAATCGAACCTGACATTCACAAACAAAGCAGAAATGTTATTGGCCACGTGTACAAACACATAAGCAGAGTCGCCCTGAGTCAAGCTGACAAAACCAATCTCAGGGAGCATACTGCTCTTCTGGAGAATGAATTGCAAAGAAAATTGCATTAAAAAAAATTATGCCTATGCAATTTTTTTAAGACCTTGTTGCTCTGCTTCTGGTATAAACTGCATCTTGTTTTTACGCATTATGTTCATTGCACCTAATCAAACTGAAAGCTGGACGTGGAGGTTTTTCTAAAAACTAAGGTTGCAGGACAAGATGATGATGATGCCCCAGAAAACAAAGTGTTTTGCTGCCTTCAGACGTTACCGCCTCAATCACCATTTCAGGTCTTCTTCAAGAGAACCTAATCACAACTTTGTTAATTATAATCCTATTTAGAGGAAAATAGAGAAGAAACTATAACATCTATTTACTCCTTGGTATCAGGAGACAAGATTGACAGTAAAGTACTAATCTCGTATATATTTGTTCAGATCATGCTATGTCATCTTAAGCTTATGAGCTTTACTCCAAACAAATAAACCAGTGAGGTGAGGTCAATGTCTGTTAATGAAGACTGGAGTAAAAGTTGATCCTCTACTGATAACTACTGCACTCAAGTCTTCAAAAGCAAGTTGAAGAGTTTGTTTACACAAAACCCAGGCTGAGGTCAAGGTTGGATGCCAGGGTTTCAAAAGTGGGAAAAAACATGTCAGAACATTCATAAAACCAAGTATAACTTATGACACTCAGAGATGGGAGATGGTGAGATTTGAAAAGTCCAGTATTTGCTTCTTTACAGGCTCTGAGAACACATTTTTTCAAAACCAGCCTCTTAAATAAATCACAGGGTCATGGGGTGAACGCTAACTTGACTGCCAAAGCCAACAGTCTTGAGTCTTTTTTTTTTTTGGTCATTGCTTTATGGTGACACGGCTCAGTTGAACGAGATGTAACAGTGCTAGGACTACACCTTCACTTTTTACATATATTTGACCTTGACTCCTGTTTGTGTAGGAGCTTGCGTGGATGCAATTCTGCTTAAAATGCTGCTCAACTTCAATATATATATATATATATATATATATATATATATATATATATATATATGGAATAGTATAACTGGTGACTTTGGACAATATTCACATCCTGAGTCCCTCAGCCATTACCTTAGACCAAGCATCGCTATAGAGTTGACACTCTGATATGAATCCAGTCATGTGATGAACATTTCTGGGTGTTTCTGTGGACTGACCAGTTAGTCAAGTGTTTGTCTTGATGAAGTATTCTATGAACACTCTTTGGTTTCAAAGATAAAACGTGTGAGATTTAGCAACAGGCAGTAGTAAGATTATATGTTGTGGTTGAACAATCCCACTTTCTCAATTGTTTTTATCCTGGGCTAAAGGTACTGTGGCTACAACACCAGAAAAATGGACATGATTTGAGAAATATATCTCTGCACATCCGTTCTGACTTTTTGTTATTCTCTTCATCCTTGTAGCTTTAAAAGTCAATACAATTACGAGCCATGATGTTGAAAACAATCATACGTTTGCAGCTGATCAGTGTGAATTACAAAACAATGACTATGGTGAACAAATTGTTTTTCAGGGATTTTCCCTCTTTCTTGACATGCTACATAGGTTTTTGGTTAAAGTGAAAGGTCTGGAGTACCAGAGGCCGAAGTTTTCCCCTCCCACAGAAAAGCATCCACCACGAGCCCTAAACGCCTCGCTTGCATTCCTGGCTTGTTTTCTGTAGTGTCAATCTCTGACCAGTCATGAAACCCGACTTGGACCAGCTCCCCAATCAGAGCAGACTTGGCTTTCCGGATCTCGTCCAGGAGCTAAAGTGGAGCGTATCAGGCAGACGGCGAGAATGCGTAATTTAAAACGTAGACACACAAATTAAAATTATAAACCTTAAAATGGCCAAAACTTTCAGGAGATGGAAAATTTGTCTCATCACTCAGTCCTGCTTTTAATGAACGATAAAGTGTCATAGTTTGAGAGTTATGTGACCTAATGAAGCAGGTGTAAGCAGGAAAAAAATGTAAATTGCATGTCAGAAGATTAAAGACGTGAAGGTCTGTGACTAACTGTGAAGGGGGGGAGGGAGTGAGAGTCAGAGGGCTGAGTTATGAGAAGGTCAAACAGCAGAGAAAAGCGGGGGTGGGAGTGGAACATTAAAAAGATTGTGTCCGTCTGGCTAATGGTTCTTTATGGCTCCCTCATGTCCTCAGATGGGCAGGATGACTGGCAGAGAGTGTGACCACTAGTAACTCTACATCACCTCTGTTTGCCCCCTCCGAGCTGACGTCCCAAGCAGCGAAGATTGCCTGCCACGGTGAAGCGAACCACTTAAACACCATATAACCAACAGACTAAACAGCCATTCATCATTACAGCACACACATGAGCTGCATCACACACAGCAGCCTTAACTGTCTCACTCAGTGACTCAATGCACACATTAAAACTTCATCAAGTATTACCGACACAAAAAAGCCCAACCGCTCAAACCTCAAGCGCCATTTGTAATGTCCAGAAATAAAGCAATCATGGGTGAAAATGGTTTTCTTGGTCTTTTTTATTGAATTGATGATGACTTGAACCAAGTGCAGAATAGTACAGAACTCCTTAAGAGACAAGTGAAGTAAAAGAAACTCCGATGTAACAATGTAGAGGCGGGTGCCGTCTCCGTTTCATTGCGTCTCCTAAAATCCACCATCCTGACCAGCCCAGTTTGGTGTCTGAAAAAAAAAAGGTGATAAAATTAGGGGTGGCCTTAATAAGTTGTACTGGGTCGCTGGATAGGCTTGTTACGAGTATTACTATTACGGGTATCTGGATGAAGTATTGGGCCCCAATACCGATTTCAGTATTTGTGCATCCCAAGATAAAATGTTGTTGGAGTATGAAACACATGTGAGCAGTTAACTTGAGATTCCCTTCTACCAGTGTGTAATGTGTGTGTTCTAATCCTGAGCTCTGGGTGGCTGAGACAGCTGACAAGGACTCTTAGCAGTCGGCCCAGATGGCAGGCAGTAAATGTTCTCTATATGTAAGTGATTTGTAGCCTTAAGGACAGCAGGATGTAGTGGTGCTCTGTGAGTTGTTTGCAGCCTCTTTTGTCTAATTACAGAAACCCCTTTAATGAGGAAAAGCCTTTTTTTTTACATGACAGGGTTATGGCAGCTCTCCTGCAAATGTCCAAACAATAGGAAGGAGGGGAGGGGTAATTGAGCACATCAAAAACACGGCCACTAAGAGCAGCACAGTTAAAGAGTGAATATTTAACGTCTGTCTGTTGTAACTATGCGGCCTTGGCTGCTGTCAGGTGTCGGGTTCGTGAACCGAGTCATCAATCCGTCCCTGACAGAGCTGCATGTCTCAGGTGAAAAGCAGAACTCCTGTGAAGCCACCGCTCACAGCTCCTGTGTAGTTATAATACCTTAGTGGTCCACGTGACACTAAAAACGGACAGAGTCAACATCAAAAACACACTTAAATGGGATGACTGGTCCTCTGAGCCAGACATCTGCAACAGGTCCTAAGTGCAGGGAACATCAGGCTTTGAGTAATGTTCACCATAGCCACTGTGAGGGTCCACCTTATTTAAGTTGCTGAGGTGAGTCACTGGGCTCAGGCCTCGTTTTTATGGTTGTTTGGAATCTACCTTGTCATTAGGCCTTTGAAGAGCAATGAAGGGATGAAAGCCTCAGCTCTGTTAAACTTGCTCTTACTGGCTTATTTCGTGTAAAGAGAGCTTTTGTTGGTGGTTGTTCATCAACATTCTTCAGCCTTGTTCTACTGAGATGATCATTTGGAGATGCTTTGAACTGCCTGAAGTTCACGTTGACCTTCTTGCATACTGATGACATAAGGGTGGGTTGCCTTCAGCTACAAGGCAATGGTTTGTGTATGTGCAGTGAGTACAGTATGTGCGTTCACTCACCTCGTTTCTGTTGTTGTACGCCTGCTTTTTCTCAATGTTCATGGCCAACATTTGGCTGCGGAATGAGAGGCTCTTGGTCTTCTCAATAACCTGCTGGTATGGAGATACAGCGTTGTTCCCCATGACCACATGTCCCTGTGAAACACCAAAGAACAAAAGCCAATCACATTTTGGTCCACCAGGAACATCCTCTCCTCCAGACCTGCCTACCACTGTTTGCACACAGTAGGGTTGAATATTCATTTATAGATACTTTCATATCATTCTGAAGGACTGGGCTGTGATTTGCTAATTACAGAGCCGTGTTGTGATGTAAATGTAAAAAAATGCACATTTAAAACAGAGCCTCACAAATGGGACCCGTCGATGGTGAGAGGTTATGTTTGTGTTACAGCAGCTTTTGTCCTTAAATAACAAAATTGTGGAGAACACTTTTACACAGCCGACAGACACAACCCCGATAGTGTTACTGGAGGCCTGTTTTTAAAACTCTTTGAGTAATACAGTAAATAAAGCTCAAGGGTAGCAAATATGGAGAAGTCTCACCAGTTTGGAGTCTATCTTGGCATCCAGCCTGGCGTTGCGGATAAGGTTTACAATCCATCTCTCGGCTTCCTCGGGCGTCATGTTAAGTTTGTCTGCCAGCATGCTGTTGAGGAAACAGAGACACATAGTTCTCAGATCTGTGTACAAGGTAACCAGAGGAGTGTGGTCTGTCACTCTGGTGTGTATATTCTCCTCAGAAGCGAGCATGTCTGACCCGCTGTGCACAAGATAGCAGTCTACAACAACGTCAGCGGGGTGATATTTCATTACATGTCATGTTCCTGAAGTTTCACTAATAAAATTTCCTACATTGTAAACAACAGTACATTTTTCAAACCCATACCCACATATTTCTCAATAAACTAAATTAATTAGGCTGGTCACTCTGACACACCAGAATTTATTATATTGTAAAAAAAAATATCTTAAGTGTGTCATGGTAAAACAATGGGGCAGAATCTACTGCTAAATGTGCATCAGCTTTGCATCTTTAGTTAGTAGTGACTTAAAATTGTAATGCGACAAAAAACTATATTCATTTTGAAATCAATGTTTTTTTACTTTAATGTCATGTTTTAAAATGTCCAGTTCTTTCTCAATTGTGAAACTTTATTTATGAATCAATTCATTTTATCACTGTACTTTCTGTTTTGATTGTTTTGCTGTTTTCATAATTTTTATTTGATGTGCTCATAAATATATGTTTAAGATATGCTATATTATTAAACATTTAAATGTTTTAAAATCTCATTTACAGCATGAAAACATCTGAGCAACATAAATCACAATAATGAGTTCAGTTCAGGGTCTGGTTTGCGGGTGGTGACCAATGGCAACGGAGGTCACCACAGGTCATGTCTATTTGTTTACTGAAGCTGAACTGTTTCTGCACTTCTGTCTACATCTCTCAACGTTCACTCTGTGGAACCCTGACTGTTATACGAGTGTTTTCCCATTTTAGGGACCAATGAGTGTAGAAGAAAAGACTCATCAGATTGTCCCTCTGTTAGGGAACTTTTCTTGCGGCTCACTCTCTGGTCCACAAGCCCATGGTACTGGGCCAGAACAGTTGATCACAGTTTGATGATAGCTTTGAAAAAAAGTTTATAATTTTTGGGTCAGCTCCTGTCATGTTGGCTGAGGTTTCATGCGTGTGTGAGTGTGCTTGAGTTTTGAGAGTCAAAGTGTGTGTTGCATTTTATTTAAATGGCTACTTACTTTATGACTATTCACACTGGTTTACAGGACAAAATATTTGGCACACTTGCAAACCTTCTCAGCACAGATATACTGGGGCTAGAGAGCTGACTTAGAGCTGGATTAAATACATAATACATTAAAACTACTTGATTACAACCTTTTCTGAAACGAAGATTTGTTTCATTGTGCTTTACACGGATGCTTACTGTGATGCATACGACACCAGAATTGCTATTAACAACAGCAGAAGAAAAGCAAGTAGAGACACGTTGAGAAAAAAACAAAACAAACCAAAATCACACTTATGTACTTTTATGTTTTTTGTGTTTCATTTCATTTATTTTCCAATATACTTTTAATATATTGTTCTCTTTATACTTTTGGTGATTTGCTGACTGCAGACTAAAGGACAAACGTGTGTATTTTTTTTTTTCACCTTTTCAATTGATTACTTAATAAATCAAGTAAATTAAAGGGAGCCTCTGAGGAGTTACCTAAAATAAATAATAAATGTAACTGAAGCAATTAAATCTTGTCTTGTGTCCGGGTTAAACTTTCATACAAATGTTTCAAGCGTGTCGTCAAACAAAGACCACGTGTCCTCATGTAAAATAAGAAACTGTGAAAAAAAGTCTTGAGTCAACTCCACATTATGATGGATGTGGTGTGTTAGCTGCCAAAGGAAAATTCACCGTTTTTGTTTGACATGATTAATAAATGGCTACCGAATTTACCTTCAGGCACCAAGTTAATATAACATGTAGGTCTCTCCAAAACACTTCTAAAGGTCCTCAGCTAATGAAAGCTTAATTTACAGACTTGAAAGAACAACTACATTATAAGTGCGAGGACTGGTCCATGTCACGGGTCACTGTTATTACTTGGTGACACATTCACTCTCTAGCTGCCTGGCTACCTACACTAGTTAAGACACACTGATGCAAGCAGCAAATGTCCCTCAAAATAAAAACCAGGTAAAAAGACTGGACTGTCCTTTGATGGATTTGGACATGAGTGTGTCACAATGTAATAAAGCGGGGCCATGAGAGTGGCTGGCACTCTTTGATCCAAAGCTCTACCCAGTGCAGCTGGCTTCCCCTGTGGCTTTCATAATAACCATACCCCCCTTCATATCCCCATCTAAAACCCCAAGCACACATTTCCTGCCCCTTCCCTCCCTCCCGTCCGCCCCTGCCTACCACATTTCATATAAGGGCCCCAATAAATATCCTCTCTATGCACTGCTCACAATTACTATAGCGACTTCAGTGGAAAAGAAAGACACACACCCCTCCCTCCTTCCCCTGGAAAATCTAACAGAAAATAATATAAATATGTTACTATGCATGTTCTCTGTTTGTTTGCAGTAATAAAACAGGTTCTAAGCCCCCGTCCCGAAAAAAAAACACATAAATAATTATCACTTCCCTGTTCATTAATCACATTTTGAAACACCCTTTCAACAAGTAAGCCTAAATTTGCAACCATCGCACCACTTTTAACACGTCAGCTCTGCAAACACTTCCCACAACCGTTTTTTTTTTTACAGATTTTAACCATCATTCTTAACTTATTTAGGACATTCTTCTAGCACAAAGTAATCTTTTGGGGATTTGTGATAATTTCTGTCTTACCTCAAGGCTGAAACAGAAACAAGGGACTAGCATATGGTCAAATGGTGGCAGAACCACATGAAGAAGGAAAGTGAAATGATGTCAGAGACTGGATGAGACATTTAATGCATAAACAACAAATAAAGTGCATTACCTCAGCATAATGAGCAAACTAGGATTTGGTCGCCAAGTGACAGTGCATCCATCTTAACACTTTCACCACAGTAAAATTGATGGATGTGTATAACAAGTTAGAAAAACACCATTTTGTGAATGGATTCATGCACAGAGCAACAGCCAAGTTGAGAGGAAGCAGTGCAAAGGGAATGATGGCCCTGTCAGTCACATCCAGAAAAAGCTCTGGTGGACATCTGACTACACTTCAGGTCATCAAAACCTGGAGAAAATGTTGCATGACAACAAAATTGCTCCTATGGATCATTATCGGGAACCTAACAAGTTCAGAGAAGCGTCAGCTGACTAATGACGCAAGTTCAAACCGTGATGGATAACACATGTCAGCAATCACAGAGTGACACTTCTGCACCATAGCTTTTAATTTGTCAACCTCAATGTTTCAAGAGCAATTGGTGCTAATAATTCATTGAAATTACTTAAAAAAATAGGGACGTGAAGGAACTACAATAAAAGGAAATTAAATATGAATTACTAGGTTTAAATGAGACTCCATTTCAGTATTAAGCAAAAGATTGAAGAATGGGAAGCAATTCCTAGTCGTGTAGCTGGAACTCAGGGTTCAAACTATTATTAAGTAACGAAATAGCCTGCTGTCCTGGTACATACACTGTTAAAATGTGTTTTACACTTTTTATCATTATTTCCAAACAATAAACCACCAACTATTTTCTAAAAGCCTGAAAAAATACTAAGAATGGATCGCAATTAATCGTGATAAAACATTCCTAAATATGACCAAAAAATGTTTCTGTATATTCCTTAAATAGCAAGACAACAAGTAGATGTCTGTCACAACTTCTGTAGTCAGGCTTTACCCATTTATCTAGTAATCAACTAATCTCAAGGAAATTTAAATGAAAGTGATATTCATTGTGATTTTTCTTTCTGATTAGGCAAACAGTGTTGGGAAGCTGGGTGTTTTGTTTGAAAATTTGGTTAAGTGGGGGCACATGTCAGTCAAGTCCAGGTCAGATAAGATGATCAAAATAAACATGATCTAGTTTCCTCGCCCAGGAGTTAAGCTAACCTTTAACCTCTTTAAGTGTGACCTGTACAGAGTTACACAGGAACAAAGAGAAGCCCAAAAGGCCCCGGTCCTTAGCCCATTAAAGTCCTCTAATTTAAATTATACTTGAAAAATCTGGCAATGTTTTCCTCACTTGTCTGACATTAGAATATCAGAGCAATGCAGTTATATCTGAGTGTTTCTAAGACTATTATATTGTTTGTATCTCTATGTAATCGCATGGAGAATAAGAATGAGAGAAAAGAAGAGAGTCAAAAAATGGTTGAACTCTAACAACCTACATTATTGACATCCTTTGGCCCTTCAGCCAAGCAGACAGCCTACAAGCCTGGTGTTACTTTACACAAGAATGATCCCATTCCTTGGGGGAGAGGGGATTATTTTCATTTCGACCCTTTTCTTACTCTGGCTCCTGTGTTTTCGACTTCAGGCTAGTGGAATCCTGTGGGTCTCTATACCAGCCTCACACTCAAAGAGAGGGGTCACCGATTGGGGTCTAACACAGAATAGTGGATGGGGATCCTTTTCAAGAGTAGCCTCCTCCTTAACATGGCTGGCCTAAAATGAATCCTTTGTTAAACACTAACATATGATAGTGTTTGGGAGACTCCGAGCCATTTGGAGCAACCCCACTTTCGGCTTGGGGTGAAATCGATTTTTTCAGGGAAACCGAAATGATCGTGTGGTCTATTTAATGACTCAATTGTGAGGTGGAAAGCTCTTCAGTGATACATCCAAATAAAGCAGACACTCCTTCCAACTTAGCATTGAGTTGTTGTGTACAAACACGACCCAGTGATGAAGGGGAGAAAATGCCAAATGATCACGTCTGGAACGTTTACTCAAAATGCCAAAGGACAAGTGTGTAGTTAAGGTCAAAGAAGGGCCTGGCCACCGAAACATTCAGAGTAGGACAAAGGAAATAAACCCAGTAAATCACACAGAGAAACAAACCTAAATTGGAAACATACTTGGAACAGTGAAAAGTCTAGACAAAAGACTGTGTGTGTGTGTGTGTGTGTCTGCACGCGCACACTATTACAAGTTCAAGCTAAATTTGTACTCTCTTTCCCATCCACATCCCATTTTGCATTAGTATTTATTAAAAAAAGAAAATCTAGTAACATTTTGTTTTTTGTTCATTTTTGACTTTTTGTCTGGCTTTGGTAGAAAAAAAAAAGCCAAATATAAAATTAATTGTAGCGCACACTTCTAGACAGACTGCTAGAGAAACAACTTGAATATGTCCATCATCACTATGTCCTGTTCATCATTACTGACAATAATAAATACAGAAACCCTCGAAAGTGCAAGAATGTAGGTCCTCAACAACCTGGGGACACACGAAAAGGTGAAGGGTAGAAAAAACAATCACTGTTTAACTTCCTCTTTTAGTATTACCACTAACCTTTGTAGTACTTAATAAGTAAATGGATCAAATTGCAGAATGTCTGCCAAAAAGAACCAGGACTCCTAATCAATTCCAGACAATCTGCAACTGGAGATTTGGACAGGCCCTGATCGTGTTCCATGGTTCAACCTTGACTACAGACCTCCATGGCTCTACACAACAGTCAGTGCAATTATTTCCCAGTCAACAGAAGTAACACATTCCCTCTTTACACTGAACATGGTGTGTTCATGGACCATATTTGAAGAGCAGATCCTGCTCTGAAGTTTCTCTACTGTATACACAGATGATGCCTGCAGGGCAGTGCATTATGAAAACATGGCAGATGTCTGAAAGCAGACAGACATTTGTGGCAAAAATTGACATGGAACAGGATAAACACAAAAAATAATATATGCAATGCCTAACACCACACATTACATGTAGCAATAAACACAAACTGCAGCCTTATGAGGATGAGGGTTGACTTCTGCCTTTATATTTGTCACTCTCATGTAAGGAGGCAGCCAAATCCTGTAATCTCTCTTAATTGCGCACAATTACTATAATTTTTTTTCCCTCTGTGCTAATGCTCACTATAATTAGCATTGATTGGTTTTGGGGAGACATCCAATGTCAATTTTATTACAATATAACCAAACTTAATTTTGAAATAGGAGTCAATAGACCGACAGAACCCTCTGACCTCCATCAACCGGGCAAGGGAGTAGATGAAATTTTCCTGCACATTAGAAGCAAATAGGAACTCATTATCGTTGTGGGCATTAAGTCCTGTGCCTCTTTTTCATTGATATACTGAGTTAAAATGGAGAGTTCTGACCTCAGATAAAAGAATTTCCCTTTACCTTTATGACTACAGAGAATGGCTTGCTGACAGATTCGTGTTGAAAAAAAAATAGTTTGAAACAAATAAATGATAAAGAACATTAAATGGGGTGGGGGTTACCAACAGATCTGTTACCATTATGACACTACTTTACATTTCATTGCATATGTAATAAAACTACCAATGGCAATAAAGAAAGTCAAGGTGAGGTGATGTGTAAATCATGAAAAGAAATAGTGAATCTTAAACACAATACTATTACGTTTGGCTTATTCTTTAAACAAACCATTCAAAGATAGAAAGCCAGTGTAATCGGAGAAGACCTGGGAGCTGGCAGACAACAAAATGCTTAAATCTCAAAATGTGTGTAGTCGGCTCGGCTGTGTAGGGGCAATAAACACTTATCTTTGTCTTAAATTCAGATAATCACAAAGCCTCTGTTTGTACATCCTGCTGACGTCGTCTAGAGATAGCTAACCTGACTTCCTGTTAGCCCCTAAGAATATCTGCAAAAACTGTATTGTGCAGTAGGTCAGCATTGTGTCCAGTGACCAACCTGATGCTAATGCACTGATGAATCCTGCAGAAGGTTTCAAAGATGAAGAGGCGGGCGTTCTCAATGAAGTCCTCCAGGCAAGCAACCAGGAAAAAGTCATTCACAAGAACCTGAGAAAGAGAGAAACAAGGATAGATTATAGGACAAATATTTCTATTCGCTTAATCATTGTACAAATGTCACAAGTACAAGGATTCTGGTTTTTATTTTTAACATGGTATCAAATCAGTATTGAGAACTGTGGAAATTAACTACAGAAATTTTGGCATCGTGACAACCCTAATTATAAGGTGAGATGCTAAATCTTAAGCACAAAAGAAGGTGCAGTGTCATTTTGTTGATTTCCATTACGAGGTTTCAGACTAATGAGATCAACACAATGATACAACAATACAATTTCCAAACCCTGCCAACAATACAATTTCCAAACCCTGAACAGCAATTCTGTTCTAAATACTGTATCACCTGTGCCTTGTTACAGTACAAAAATGAAAAAAAGCAGTTTCTGACACTTTCATGTGGCTCACACATCTTTGTGAATTGTTCATGACCCAGCAATGGCCCAATCAGACTCTGGGAGAATGAAGTTGTTTTTTTCCCAGTTTGTCAGTGTTTGCTGCTGCTTTCCAGCACTAAAATTGGGCCATTTTACATCACAGAACTTCATCTTCAAAAGTTCTCTGAGAACAACTGGCTTCTAGTCTTCTTAAGAATGAGAAGGATGCTATCTGCATAGAGTTCTGCTTGAATAAAACCCAACTACACGCTGCTATCAGACAGCGGATATTTCAGCTATGACAAAGCTTATCTAAGGCTGATAAAACTTTGAAGAGTTAAGTGTCTGAATTATTGTCATCTGGGATTCAGACCACAAAGCTTAAACAAATCCTGAGAGGGGCTTTAAGCGTCCTTTATGTGCAATCCTGACTATAGGTAGGCCTATACTTTTCTGTCTTTGACATTCAAGCAGCTCACATCTGACAGTGATTCCACATTCAGATTAAGCTGAAAAAAAACAAAGGGTACAGTGCACAGAGGACAGGGTGGCTGAAAACAATACCCAGATCTTGTTATTACAGCAATCAGAAAACAGATGGATGCCACTCTGCTCAGTAGCACAACCTTGATGGATTACAACTGCTCATCAAGACAAGAGGCCAAGCCACTAAGGTATTATTTTATCCCAATGACTTCACCATCTACGGGTCCTTTAACCTTTCATCATTGTACTTTTTTGTGTCCTGCCTATGAATTTCCTAACATGAGAAAGGAAAAAAAAGTGACTTCAAACAGTGCCATTTTTGGGAAATGTTTGCAGACCATAACAGGCAGTGCATTAAGAGGTGCTGTTAAACCTTTTTTTGAACCACCCACCTCACTAGACTGCTTGTGAACTGAACAAGGTCAATAGAGGGGCCTTTGTGCCTACTGGACATGCTCTGATAAGACTGACAGGTATGGCTGCCGTTAAAAGCACCTGGAATAACTTGGGCTGTGACCTCAGCGTCGGTTGGGAGTTAGCATCTGTTTCAACCACAGAAAAGTCTCTGTAAACAAAACCCTACGAGACAAGGTCAAGCCCAACTTAGAGACATCCTAAGTAATGCATCAAAGTGTTTAACGGAGTCGATGATTTAGGACGTGTGTGCTGTCTTCACTGAAATTTGATATGACAATAAATGTCACCATTTACGGGTCGTAAAATTTGTGTCTTCTCTTGGACTGCAGAGTGTAATCTTAATGACCACGCACATTTGTTTGTGGGTATGACAAAAAAAAGAAATCTGCCTGGAGTTTAGCAACTTCCACATTTGTTAAAATGTGCCCAAGCTTAAGGCAGTTTGTATTAATATAAATGTAGGCTAAAGCAAAACGGATGCTTCAGTAAACCGCTGACAAGATTTCTAAACATTTACTCTTGAAAGAGAAGCATTTGATCATGCCAGATGTTTTTCATTCTGATGGTTTATCGTTAAAGAGGCCATAAGATGAAAAGGGGGCCAAATAACCCCTTAGCCTTTTATTCTTCTGCAGGTCCAAATTATCAAGTCATTAGGGAAAACGAGATTACAGTGCGTGTGTGTGTAAGAGTGTTAGTGTGTGCTCATTTGTGTGTGTGTGTGTGTGTGCACTTGTGGACTAAGTTGAAATAAATAAACATATCACAGCCCCAGCTGGCACACCTGTCCCAAACCCAACCCCTTGGGTTCTAATAACCCACCATGAAAAAATAGTCTGATCTTCAACAAGCAGCACAATTCCTGCGGCATTAATGACATTTATACACAAAGACAAAAGGCACAGAAAAAAACCCCAGTCCTTTGTCACAACTCAACATGTTGCTGCAACTGCAACATACTTCTCTAAATTCTATTTTTCTACATGTTTATTTGTCAATATGTTATAGTTGGCATCATTTTCCAAGAACGGTCAAGTATTTATGTTTATATGACTTTTTTTTTTTACCGTAGAGTAGTGAGTACATCATCAGTACATCCCCCAAATATACTTCCTTGACTACTTCAGTGAATTCCTTGTTTTGTTTTGTTTTTTTTCATTTTTCAATGATAGGTGTTTCATGGTGTTTTCTCCTGTGGATTCAGATCAATTATATGATAATAATCTATACCAGTTCACTAGTTAACCGATTTTACCAGTATCAGATCAAAAATTATAAGCAGATTATGCCTCTATTTGTACAGATTTTGAAGGTATAAATGATCCATTCAACATTAATGGTGTTGTTCGGAATACAAGTCATTTTGAACTGATAGTTTGCAGCTGCTGTACAAAATTGCTTCATTTTGTTCATATTTGATTCCCACTAAGTGGTCAATGACTAATTTCTGTTTATTTATCTTCTCTTTTCTGTATTATAGTCAACAGACAAAGAGAACTTTTATAGCACGCACCCATCACACAGAGATCTCTCTCTAAACTTCTGAGTCTGCACTCCTCTGTGCAGTTCTGCTTATAAAGCTTTTACTGTTAACTACTGGCCTGATGGGTCAATTACAGGCCTCTGTAAAATCTAACTGCTGTCTGAGTCACACAGTGACCAAAGCGATGTCTTTTCCTGAGAGTGTGATACAGGGCACCGACTATCACTGTTCTGTCAGCACTGGTCCCAGACAGAAATCCTGGGAACAGATTGTTAGCGCAAAGATGCAGAGGACAAAACTGAGTTTGATTCTGGATTTCAAAACATGTTTACTAGAATACTCTGTGTGAAATCGCAGTGTTTCTGAACAGTAAATCGTTGCTGAAGACACTACTTACAGACTCGCACTCCCGGAGTTTCTTCTGGGCGCTGTCAAAGTCAAAGTTCACATACAAGCACTCCACAAACTCTGTGATGGGATCTTTGTACGTGTAAGATTCCTGAAAAAAAACACAATAAGATTGGCTTTGCATTTTAAGGTTGTATACACAGTATATCAAAAATCAGCTGGCCCCTGAGAGAACATGAGACAACATATGATTACATAACTATTATTCCAAAAATGTCTTGAACCACAAGCCGTTAATAATTAACTATAAAGCATTTGGTCAAAAGTAACAGATTTAGAAATTCAAGGCTGTACAACCCAGGCCCCAAATTTTTCATTACCTGCTGAATGACTTTCACCAGATCTTTCAGAACCTGCCGACGTTTACGGACATCCTTGTTTGTGATGACCGCTGTGGTCAGGTAACGCAAGATGTGAGGGCACATAGTCTGGATAGCGTTGAGGTACCTGCAATGAGGACAAAAGTAATCATCCATCAAAGCAAAAGCATGATCTTTCCAAACACACATCATATAACATTTTGGCTGCCAAGTGAGATTTTGGCATTTAGAAGAGAGAAAAAGGCCTGTGCAGCTGAACAGATAAATGTCCTTACAGGACACCTTGACTGTTTGACATGGGTCCCCGATTTAAGCCGTCTCTTTCATTCCACTCCTATGAGAAGACGAAGGAAAAGGGAACCTTGACAAGAAGATACAGATCAGTGAGCAGGGATCTGCCCAGTAGCTGAAACCCAATCCACAAGAAACTGATGTTTCAACCACAGGTCAACTGGCTGAGGCCTGAATACAAGAGACAACGCTGCTCCAGCCAAATTCTAATCCTAACTGTAGAGACCATACTCTGGGAAAAACAACATAGGGTCTGTCACACAAACATGCAGTATAACGGGCATGACACTTGTCAAACATGTCAAACATGGCAATCAGTCAACTATAACTATATTACCAGAAGTACTTTCCCAGTTCTTAATACACACTTCGAAAACAAATCTGCCACATTAGATCAGAAAAGAGGAAGTGGCGAGGGGCCACTCAATATGTCTTAGAACCGAGTCCGGATGAACACATGGTGTTTGGGGGGGGGGGGGATTTGACAGCAGTTTAATTACCTCTAACAATTAAAGGGACAGGGGACCTGTGTTGAGTCTAAAAACAGAAGTTGGCTGCTTGGCAAAGCCACCATCAGTTAAGCCTGAGAAGCATTAGCTGCTGCTTCTCTCGCTCTTTCTTGGTCCCTTTGTAGTTGCTTGACTCCCGTGGATGACCGCAATGCTCTGCGCTGTGTTCCTGATTAGCTTACACCCACTCACTCTCCAGAGGGGGCTCCAATAGCAAGCAGTCTTGCATGAGTCACTGTAGCATTTCTAGGCGATATTCACCCAATCCCACTTATGGGACTTTTTTGAGGTAACAAGCAATACTGCGCGGGTTTACTTAAGATGCTATTGAAGCATGTAGCCATGGGATCAAGTTCAAATTTCACCATTTTACAGGGACATCGGAGAAATACACACAAAAAAGAACAGAGAAACATGGTGTCATTTCACAGCTCACCTAGAAATAAAAGTGAAAAAAAGCTAAATGATAACACTGACAGTCAGGTGACACGAGAACTAAAAACCACAGCCCTGCTTATCCACCAGGATGCACCTTTATCCTAAAGGTATTTCTGATTCAGCATCTCTCTCCTCTGTGGCGCAGTGCAGCCAGTCAATGGGACACAAAAGGAGGCACTGGACCAGCATCTGCTGACAGCAGGGGTAAGAGAGGTCAAATGTGGAGCTGAAGGACAACCACTGGTCACTGACTTTAGCCAAAGGAAGTACTGGTCAAGAGATGGGAAGCGAAAGTCAAGCCAAGCCTCACTGGGGAAAACATGAGGTTTTGAGACTGTGAAACTGCAAAGCACACAAAACTACCTCAGTTTATCCACACAGATGGTTGGGTGAGCTTTTCATGAGTAATTATTGGGCTGGCCTCCTTAATCATCGACAATAAAATTAAAAACTGAGTAAAATTCAGGGAACCAGACATTTAAGTGTGCTGTGTTGTGGTCGCCTGTCATACTGTCTGCGGAGTCCAATCATCGGTACAATTATACAAGCCTGCAATCAGAACAGGGGGAGGGAGTGGAGACATCAAAATAGGTGGTGCACAAATTTTAACACAGTGTATAAAGTTTCCGATCTGCGATACACATGGCTTCGTTCTCGGCTTGGAGAGTAAACAGACCACACGAAAACACACACACACGCATGTACGTGCGCACACACACACACGTCTGAAATCACTTTAAAAAATACTAGCAGGCTTCATCAAGAAGCCCACCACCCAAATCTTTCACTAAGGCAAGGACATTTTTACCACATCAAATTAACAAATAAAATGAGCAAACATACAGTCGTAGAGCTTTTTGGACATGCAAAAGTTTAACAGCAATAAAAGAAACCATAATGGTAAAACACAAACAAATGTAATACTGTAATGAGAGATGCAATAAAAACCAGTGAGTACGAAAGCAGATACAAAACTGTAAAACCTTCTGAAATTATTAATACAGTGTACTTACTGTGGCTGGTACAAAAAGAGCTCAATGATGTTGTCTCTGCCTTTAGGGTGGTTGAAGAAGACAAATAGCGACCAGTGAATGAGCCAGGTTCGCTGCTGAAGAGACTGGAGTGGAGAGCTGACAGACTGATGAGGACCAGGACAGACAGGTAAAGCAGAAGCAGGTGAAGGAAAGAAAAGTCAAACTTTCAGTAAAAACAGTAAAGTTGTAAATCTAACGACAGGAGTTAATGTCTTTTGAATGCCCATCAATCACACACAGACAAGCACTTAATACTAAATTCTAAGTAGCTAAGTAGTGCGAATAGTGTGTGTGGGTAAGGAATAAAGTGACACAGCAGAGCTGTGCTGAAAGTGAAATGTCAATATGAACTCTATGTAAGAGAATCTAGATGAGGTATCATATTCTGAGATGTGGGGCATTTACGTTGTTATCGATAGTCTCTCTCAGGCGGGTGAGGTCCTCCATGGCTGCCTCCCAGTTCTGCATCAGGATCTCAGAG